ATATTTCCAAAACTATCAACATAAATACAGCGTTCTGGCATGAAACTCTGATTGCGCAGTCCGATAGGTCTAACTCAATCTGACGTAATGATATCATTATCACATGGCACAGCTGATTGGTTTTCTCCTGTATTGGTAGCCAATGAGCTCGCTGCTCAACATTCAAATATATGACTAGAGCTTGCCGTAGCAGTGCAGCGCTTCAGAACAGCGAATTCAACATCTAAGATAAGTGAATGCTTCGGTAAGTCCTGCCTGTCTTGAGTTTGGGCCTAACAACTCCGAATTCGTCCTAAAACCAAGACATGGGTACGTTCCTAAGGTGCCCTACACCCCGTTTAGAGGACAGGTTATTACTCTCTCTGCGCTTCCTCCTTCTGAGGAGGACCAGGAGTTAAATTTTCTCTGCCCGGTTAGAACACTGAAAATTTACATTGGGCGTTACGCCCTGTTCAGGCGGTCGGAACAACTTTTTGTATGCTTTGGTGGCCGCACCAAAGGGTCCCCAGTCACAAAGCAGAGGATTTCTCTATGGTTAGTTGAGCCTGTTAGCCTGGTTTTTCTCCTATTTGACAGACAGACAATACTTCATCACCATGCATAACTACAAATCTCCCACTGTCCCTCTTAATCAGGGTGTGCCACAGGGCTCAGTTCTAGGGCCATTATTATTTATCATTTATATTATGCCCCTCGGACAAATTATTCGCCACTAAGGATGGGTATCGTTAAGGTTTTAACGGTATTACTACTCTTACCGATACTGCTTATCGATTCGGTACTTTAATGTGTATATATAGCAATTAATAAATGTATGTGTGTTTTATTAATTTCTCCAGTACCGATAGCAGAACCGTTAACGTCAGAGCTTATCGATATTCCGGTCTTTCATAATTTAGCCCCGGGACCGATTAAATACCGGGTTTCGGTACCCATCCCTATTCACCACCATGGTTTTCAGTACCACTGCTATGCCGATGATATTCAGATATATACTTCTTGCCGACCTGACTTTATTCACCAGACTGCTACTCTATTGTCATGTGTCAATGAGTTAAAAGGTGTTCGAAACAACTTTTTGTATGCTTTGGTGGCCGCACCAAAGGGTCCCCGGGCACAAAGCAGAGGATTTCTCGATGGTTAGTTGACGCTATAGCGCTAACATACTCCTCCCTGGGTCTTCAGAGCCCATAGGAGTCAGAGCCCATTCCACTCGGGGCGTGGCCTCGTCCTGGGCGTGGTCTAGAAGTGTGTCCATAGCAGATATTTGTGTGGCGGCTGGCTGGGCCTCACCGTCCACTTTCACCAGGGTCTATAACTTGGATGTTCCGGCCTTGCAGGCTCGGATTCTATCTGCTTAAATGGATACGCGCCTGCCTAAGGCGGTCTAATTCTTCAGGCATTGCCTGTTTATTCAGGTACGCTCTTGGCCCTTTCAGTAATGCTGAGGCTGTACAAAACCGTTGGAAAGATTATCCAAGGCTGGGCTGACCTCTGAGTTCAGACTCTTGCCTCCTGCAGGGCTCACCCTGCGTATAATTGGTCCTTCTGAGCCTTTTGGCCCTTTCAGTAATGCTGAGGCTGTACAAAACCGTTGGAAAGATTATCCAAGGCTGGGCTGACCTCTGAGTTCAGCCTCTTGCCTCCTGCAGGGCTCACCCTGCGTATAATTGGTCCCTCTGAGCCTTTTATGCTCAAGGCCAGTTCATGTCAGTCGTTCCTCTTTCATGACACGGCGGGATTGTATTGGTTCCCCATAGCATCTAGCGACGCAGTACGAGTGAAGTATCGAAAGGGAACGTACTCGGTTACTTGCGTAACCTCGGTTCCCTGAGATATGGGAATGAGTACTGCGTTCCTTGCTGTGCCATGACTCTGCACGACTCTGTGTCATCGCTTCAGTCGAATTTATCTGAGATCCTATGGCGAAATGCCCACTTATATAGCCAGATGGCCCCGCCCATTCTGGCGGGCTTCGGCGCCATAGGCTCGTGCAGCTCTGCTTTTTTATTTACTGCACGAACCAATGGCCTGCGTGATTGTAAAGGCTTCAGTCCTCTGAGAAAAATGAGTTTTTCCCCATAGCGTCTAGCGACGCAGTACTCGTTCCCGTATCTCAGGGAACCGAGGTTACATAAGTAACAGAGTACGTTTTCTAGATCTGGGCAGCGTTTCCCAAAAGTAAGCCTAAGTTGATCGTAGCTTTATTGGTTTCAATGGGTCTACGATGTACTTAAAGGTCCCATATTGTCAAAACTGAAATTTCCTGGCTTTTTTCACGATTACTGAGGTCTAGGGGCTATTTAACTACCATATA